CATAAATAATTGGGACAAAAACACACTAACCATAAATAATTGGGACAAACACACGCCGATACTTTTACTTTAAGTAATGTGGGCTGACTTCTATCGTCTGATTAATTTCGAGACAAATTTTCAGGTTACATGAAGGACAACTATAGATGAATCACAGTGTTGAACCCTAAGTGCACTTTGAAAGAAGTTCGTGTATAATTTTCTATAAATGAATCATAGTGTTGAACCCTAAGTACACTTTGAAAGAAGTTCGTGTATAATTTTCTATAAATGAATCATAGTGTTGAACCCTAAGTACACTTTGAAAGAAGTTCGTGTATAATTTTCTATAAATTAATCATAGTGTTGAACCTTAGTACACTTTGAAAGAAGTTCGTGTATACTTTTCTATAGATCAATCACAGTGTTGAACCCTAAGTACACTTTGAAAGAAGTTCGCGTATAATTTTCTATAGATAAAAACGTTTGTTTGTTGTTAAGCGCAAAGCTACACAATAGGCTATCTGTGTTGTGCCAACCACGGGTATCGAAATCCGGCTTTTAGCGTTATAAATCATCAGATATACCTATCAGTCAGTGGGGCAATTAGTATGTTTTTCTATAAATTAATTAGTAAGCTTTATTTAATGAGAACGTCATGGTCAGAAGATCCTCTTAGTTCTGTCATCTCTTTCCACTAGTACTACTGCTCATTTCATAATAAAAATGAATATTTTGTTTGTAAAATCTGACTAACTTCGTTGTTTTCTAAATCGAATGTTTTCAAGTATCGTTCTGATTTTCTCTCACATGTGACCTTCACATGCCTATATAAGGTTGTTACCCAGCGAGTCAGCGATAATTTTATGGACTTATAACGCTGAAATTCAAGGCTCGATTCTCCCTGGTGGACAGAATGCAGATAGCTCATTATGAAGTTTTGTCCTAAAACAATCAATATAGAAGGCTATTACAGAGAGAGTGAGTAAAAGTTTTTGTAATAATATCTGGATTTGTGTATTTTTAATTTTATGTATTGTACTGTAGTAATTTTATCGTTAAAGTAAAAAAATAAATAATAATATTTGATTTTAATTTAAAGATTTGTTTTAATTAGGTTTTTATTTTAAATTGACAGTAAAGCGAACTTATTTTATAACCTGGGTTTTTACAAAATTAAAAAATAAAAAGTTATATTTTATTCACATTATAATTTTTAACTTAGATTTATTATTCTCCAAAAATGTTTTAATTGTTTTCTAGTTTTTTTGTTTTTGTTTGAAATTAAGCACAAAGCTACACAATGGGCTATCTGTGCTCTGCCCACCACGGGTATCGAAACCCGCATTCTTGCGTTGTAAGTCCGCAGATTCTAGTTTTTATTCGAGTATCCTGTGATGTTAAGAAACCGGTTAAATACAGAACAGTGTGTGAAAAGATAAAGGATTGAAGTTTTAATATATATATATACGTGCGTAAAAAAGAGTTTTATCTGTACTTAATACCAGCTTATGCGATACTGTAGTCTTAAAACAAGACTATAAAAAATACATATCATGTGTAAATAATTTATGGTACTCCAAAAATCAAAACCAAAACAACAACAGCAAAAAATATGCACAACTAATATCCAATAAAAATTCGTAAATTTTTAGGAGAGACAAAAAACATACATAGAAAACATTTACTACATGTTAAATATAATGTCAGTATATAAACTCGTACAGAATATATAAGAAAGAACAAAACATGGTAACGAGAGTAAGTTTCCCAAAATCTCCTGCACAGTCTGTCTTATCTCAATTAACTGATTCAATAATTCTCGTGACGTGCTTCTTGTAAGCAGTTCTGTTTCCGATTTTGGTTTCGAGAGTAAATAGATGAGTCATTAGGACTTTTCTAGTTTTATAGATGTCTAGCGCGTTGGGTCTCAGCGTAAAAACCGTTTTCTTCTTTTTAGACGAGAACTTAAAATAATAAACTTAATCGAAGTAACTGTCAGGAACAACACACTTCTTTTTAGAACAGGCAGTGCAGTCCAATAGTCTCCAAACCGATTAATATTAGTTATCTGTAAAATTAACAAGAATTCGCCGGAATTAAGCACAGGAATTGGAAAGGTTCGTATGTAGTTTTATTACCATGTTAATTATTATGAGTGTAATAACTTACTAAGCTATGTTTCTTTTTTTTTATAATGCAATTGGCAAAATAGGTTATTTCAAACAAATAATATGAAATTGAAAGAGTTCAGAAAGGAAAAGTATTTTAGTTTTACAAATTCTAGGTTAAATTCGTACATTCTTTTCCATATTGAATTATAACACGATTTTTAAGTTAGAAAAGTTAGTACATGTACTGGTGCATTCTTCAGCTATAACTACAAGACAGAACGGGTAAAACTAAGGGTTAATTATCGTGGAATGAGCGGCATCTGCCTGCTGTACTCATAAACAACAACAACAACAACAACAGTATAGAGGACGACGTTGCGAAAGTCTTCCGTTAATTATCGTAAGGGGCGATGTTTTTTCTTTTCTCTAGAGGGAGATTTTTTTTATATAAATAATGATTTGTGAGTCTAAAAGTTTTATGAAAGCTTAGGCTTCCTGTAGGATATAAAAAACTTGTAATAATATTAAAATTTTAAATGCCAGACTAATTGAGTGAGTTAGTTAATCACCGTCAGCTAGTGAGTTAGACAATGAGAGTTAGTGAGTCTGTAATTCAGTTAGTAACTAGTCAGTCAGCGTGCATTGTAATTGTATGGATCCATTAACGTAGAACTTTTACAAGGAAGATTATTCGTGAGGTAGGCTTACCATTAGTCTCAGAATTTCTAAGTTTAAAACAGTACCAGTGAATGTAGTTTGTAGAGAACGTTACTGAAGAAATAGTTCATTATTAAGTGGATTGGAATAGCGTGTCTGGTTGTGTACTTATTTGAGTTTATAAGGATTACATCTATTTGTTCTTATGTTAAAAATATAATTGAACATTTGATGTTTGAAACTTCATCGTATAAAATGAAGAGGAAGAATTTGTCAGGAATAGTTCATTAAATCCAAGATTATCCAGGGATGGTTCATTAAATCCAAGATTACGGAGATTAAGATAACTTTCTGTTATGTATTTTTTTTTCAGAGGATTACGGGGAATGAAATGTCTTTTGATACTAATAATTGCAAGCTCTTGTCAGAGCTAAAAAAAGTCCTGAAAAATATCAAACTAGATTCTAATGAGACCAAAACAAACAATGCTATCGTGAATGCTGTCCTTCAGGAAATAATATGCAGAATGAAACGACTGGATACTCTGTTCAATGTGGTTTACCAAAGACTTGTTTACACTGGTAGCTACTACCAGGGACTCCGACTACACGAAGCCACAGAATACGATGTGAACTTGGTATTACAGTTCCCCTTCAGAAAAGAAGCTTGGAGTGTAAGTAGTGTTTTATTTATTAAAATCAGCAATGCATATTGATATAGTTTTTTTTTAAATTTTTATAATCAACATTTTACTTATTGACATGTTACAAAGAGGGGTGTGAGTTGATTAAAACTGAAAACTAGGCTCTACGAATTTTGTTTTTTAAGGGCTAGTTAATATTCTTTATAACTTCTTATAAATAATCTAATTAATTTTGAGTTATTTTTAGAATACTAATAACTGTAGCTAACTGGGATCAATTCGTATTGTGTAATTTTATCACTAAATATGTAGGGAGGGGCTGGCAAAAAATGTCCGACACGTATTATGTATTAATGTATAACATAATGTTTTGGGACAACATGGGACCTATTGGTCCATCTCGGCTGTCCCATCCTCTAAACTAAACTAAAACTATTAATAAGTAAATTAAGAAAAATATGTCTTAAAGCCAGCCCTTATCATTTGTATACTTATCGAGGTTTCTCTTAAACTCAAAGTTACTCTCTCTACAACATTTGAAGGCAACCCTTTCCAAAGGCCAACCACCCTGTTAGAAAAATGAAACTGTCTTAGCTGAAGATGACTCCTACCCTGCCATTTATATTTATGTCCCCTAGTCCTACTATTCTCACTGTTAAATATAAAAAACATGACACATTAACACTATCAATTCCCTTTATAATCTTAAACACCTCAATTAGATCCTCTCTAACTCTTCATTTCTCAAGAGAAAACAATTTCC